TGTGTGTGTGTGTGTGTGTGTGTGTGTGTGTGTGTGTGTGTGTGTGTTCCATAGGAATACATAATTATTAAAGGGTTATGGTGAAGAAAGCATTTTATGATCTGCAGGAGGATTTAGGATTCGTCCGTTACGAGATAATGGACTGCATATTTATTGCCTGAATATGTGATGACATATTTACAGTTTGATCTACAACTTGGCTGAACATTGTAAAGGTCTGGGCTACTATGTATGTGGGAGATAAGAGATGAAGCATTGTTTCAGACTTGATGTCACAGTCACTTTCAGGTCAGATATTATGTTTAGGGTGAGATAGGTGTGAGGGAAGGAAGAGAGTTCAGATAAGGGTGAGCAGCTAGTCGAGGAATGGAGTGAGTGACAGTCATTTATCTCTCCTTATCCAATCAATCCCTCTTCTTTTTTTCTTTGCTAATGACAGTTCTTGCCTTGACCTGAAATGTCCGAGAGAGTTAAAGAGACAGAGTGTGCTCTCAAAGATGTGTCATGTGCCTTCCTTTACAGTGTTGCTCTATTCCTTGCATGCTGCTTCTACACGTGCATGTGCGTTTAATCACCTCTGTGCAGCAACGTGGAAGTCAGTTTCTGACTACCAGTTTCTGGTAACGAGTCCAATTCCATCGAAGCATCCAAATCTCAGTGCTGCCGGTGTGCGGGACTCTGAGAGTTTCCCCTGGCCGAGCAGGGCGGGCTCTCGATGTTTTCTTTTTTTCCAGAAAAACATTCGAATCCAAACGCACATAAACATATCCCCATAATAATTACTGCCAGCCGCTACCGCTGAGCCAAGATTGTGTTTCAAGTAAACATTGATTTGACGTTTAAGTGTGTAAACGGGGGACACTGCTGACGGATGGTGAGTTTGAAAAAAAAGAAATGAACAGCTTGCAGACATCAATAATTTATGTGTTGTGCTTGAACCTTTCAACCGATGAAGAATCAGTCCCTTGACCTCACGCCCTGTCAGGTGGAGACGCACCAGATATAGTCATCCCGTACATTTTCGTATTCACGTCTTCTGCTTATGACGTTTATGAACTTTGATTTCTATTTCCCCGTCATATTTTTAGAACACATGCGTGAGTAAATCTGAGTTGCCCTTTTGGCATACAACACTATTGCAGGCTAAGGGAAATTGTTTGGAAAGTCCTGCCGCTCTAAATTCAGTGCAGATGCAGGGTGGGTTGGAAAACGGCTGTGGGTATCCCATTATACTACAAACAAAACTGTATAGCCAGTTTTAATATTTGCAATAAAAATACATTCCATTCTCCAATTAGAGCCTTTAAACACACGTGGCGTGAATGACTCCTATATTAAAATAAGTTTGATTCCTACATGCTGGTGTTTTCCAGCGTTTAACACCCACTTGTGGAAATATCGACAAAAGAGAAATGATTATTAAAGCCATGCGCACAGTGTGTATTCGGCGTGCAACCAGTAATGAGGGTTGAGCTGTAGTACCCGCCTTCTATCACAGTCTTGAGTCCAGATTGCTACAGTAGGGGCCCAGCTGCAAAACATGCCTTCTAGTGTAACTGACTCAGCACTGTCTGGATTAGTAACTTTTTTTAAAGTTTATTTAGAAGCTTAAGAAGTAGGAAGATTTTCTCCACACATAAAGAAACACTTGCACGTGCAGCAGTTTATCACAAACATTTAAAAACCGACACACCTGGAGAGACGTGGTTTTCACTGGGCAAGAAGGGGATGAAAACATTGTTGTATGAAAATATCTAAAGTAGAGTGGAGTAAAAAGTACAATATTTAAACAATAAAGTGGAAGTTGAAATTAGCATAAAATGAATATACTAATACAAGTACCTAAAAATTATACTCAAAAAAAATGTACATGTTACCATTGCATTGCACAACCCTCCTGGGCAAGTCAACATAAAGTAATTACAAGCTGTATTTTCATAATAGTTCAGCCAATATCCAGTTAAAAAAAGAAGCTTTTTCCGCTTGCTGTTTCAAACACTTGATGCCTTTATTAGTTAGCCGGCACTAGGGAGATGACAGGAAGTGAGTGGAGAGAGATGGAGAAAGATGTCCCACAGTTCATGGCTCGTGCCTTAACCTCCAGGCCACGAGAATGCCCCACATGGCTTGGCGTCCGGTAGCTCCTAGCTGTCTCCTGTCTATTCCCTTTGTATACTTCCCATGCTCCCATGAGAAAAATTTAAAAGAAGTAACACACATGATCTAAATGCACCATAAACAGAGAATGGAGCCCCTATACAGAGTTTAGTTTTCCTCCATACAACACCAACAGGCTTGAACTCCAGATGTAATCAGCATCTGGTCACACAGTCCCATTTAATGGCCATTACCTCTGAGTACCACACGGCCAAGGCAGCATGAAGCAGGCTTTGTGGTCTTCCCTCCAGAGACGTGGTGGTATGGGAGAGGAAATGGAGACTGGAGCCCAGAGATTTGATAAGAACCTCTTGGCTGGCATAATTCAAGCCTTCCAGAATGGAGGCGTTGATCTGAGTCTGGGACCATGTAAACGTCATGATGATTTCAGAGTTAAGTTATACCCAGTGCTTTCCGTCCAAGCATGGTCTCCTCAGTTTATGTTTGATTTTCTCTCTAGCAGTTCTAGCATTGTGGCGATTTGATGCTTCAAAATTGGTTATTTCAGTATCTGATGAATAGCATAGATCCTCTACGCACACCCCCCCAAAACCTTTTCCTTTTAAAAGATTCCAGCTCAGAGCAGTTGTGTGTTAAAGTTCAACAGGAAGTGGAAAGTATATTAAACAGTGTGAGGGTGAGAGAGCAGAGAGCGAGGCTGGTTCTCAGAGGAAACAACTGGCTAATTATTCAACACAACTTTATCCAACACTGTTTTGTTGACTTCTTAAATGGTCCAAAAAAGCCTTTATTTACATGCGATTATTCGTCTTTGTGCGGTAGTACTTTATTGTAGTTAAATGATAACATTCCACAGGCAGGTCAGAGGTCAAGGTTGGCTACAGGCCAGCATCCTCCTCTGGTTAAATTATGTTTTCTTTACCCCCACGTACAGAATAAAAAGAAGCACATCCATTCAGTCTAGTTGTGCAACTTGAGTCTCGTTCAAAATGTTTCTGACTGACAACTCCAAATTAGTGATAAACAAGATCTACGTGAGGTTAGCTTGGCTCTGTAGGTGTGTAGCAGCCACACTCGAACAAACAAGCAAACAAACAGCCCAGCTTCCACATTCTGACAGCAGGTGGTGAAATGCTTTTGGAAATCATTTCCGTAATGTGTGTCAGTGTGCGTGCGCGTGTGTGTGTGTGTGTGTGTGTACTGCTAATTGTCAGCTCTAAGACTCAGAGCCAAGCAACAGTTTGACAGCAAACAGCCAAAGGTGAAGCTAAGTGTTCCCAGCTCGGCTCTGTTGTGGTAACAAAACAGAGCTCCAGACAGAGACAAGACATCGGAGACGTAAACACGCTGCTCTGGCATTCATCTTTAAGACGTTAAATGAAAGCACTTAACCCCCGTGTGATGAGACGATTGGTGCGTTCGCCTCTGCATTTAATGCGCCGTGATGCCGACGAACATTTCGGTGTGTGTAACAAAAAAACTCACTATGTATCACCGATAACTGTAGTTCTCCTGGCCTGATGCCTTGTGCTCAGCAAAGTGTTTTTTCCTGTGAGAAACAGCTGAGTGTAGCGTTTATCTGTGTTGTGTAAAAACTGTGTGCTTGTGTGGGCCTATGTGTTTGTTTGTATATTTGTTGTAGCTGTGCTTGGCAGTCATCTCACAAATCTCCTCACAAATTAGTTTCCATAATGAAGGCCCACTGGCTGTTACTCATATAGCGTTACGGTGTTGATATAGATCTGTAACTGTAAGTGTAACGGTCACATTCACTGTCCAGCTGAAGGAGCAGGACCTCCAACATGGCTGCTCTGATATGTAACATCACGCCATGTGTCTCCGTTCCCTCCTCAGTCCAAAGCCATGCGTGAGCGATGGCTCCTCCAGGGAATCGGAGCGGAGGAAGAGCCGGTGCGGCGGAAACAGCTGGAGCAGGATGAAGAACAAGGGAAGAGGCTGGAAGACATAATGCATAG